AAATGTTAATTTTGACTTTTTTTGTAGCTTACTTTTTTTTCTTTCTTTTAAGCACGTTGTGTGAAGTGGATGGTCTTGTTATTTTGGCTGCTGCATCTGATGTTGATATTGTTGGGGTGTTACTCTGTTTGATACCTTTTAATAAGTATCGTTTCATCATCCTTTAGTTTTGTTCCTTCTAAACAGGAGATACAGCTCTATGATAACAGCAGGCCCAATAAGATGCCAAGTTAATGGTATAACATGGACATAAAAATAAAGAAACTGATTCTTAATCACTGGGCAATTTATTTGTAACTCCAGAATAGTCTAAAATTTTAAATGAAAACTTTGGTTCACAATTACTTACAATTTATCATCAAAATAAAAATTATTTTGTACTGTGTTTGTTCTCATTAGCCAAGCCCTGAGGACAAGGGAGACAACCTGTACAGCGTTTTAATTTGAAATTTAAAAGGCCATTTTTATAATGCATAATAAATACATTAAAACCTGGATGAGAGGCCCTCTGCTAATTTGCATATACTGATCTGTATGTTTCTTGTCATAAGTTTCTACTATAACTGAATTGAGAACAGCTGAAGTTTGAGTAACCTTTGAATTTCATAAATTAATTTTAGAAAAGGTTTATTTTCTTTTTGTGTTTCATATTCCTTAAAGATTGTTGTGTAATTTGCAAGTATTAGCCATTTTTCACTTAAAATAAAGTACTCCTGGAGACTGGAGTCTTCCAGTCTTGTAAATTTATAGTCAGTAATACATGCAAAAGCTGTTTTAAAGTATCTACACCACTGAACACCTTAAAATTACTGGTTCTAGAAATGGTGTACACAACAAGAACATGGTTCGTTATTCAAAAGTACATGGAGGGAATAGTAGAAAAAAATGTTTTTACATGTCCTCTGGAGGACTTTAATGTTAAGTGTTCTAAGTCCTTTAAAAGATTCATCTGGAGAAAGACAGCACATCTTAAATCTTGCTGGTTTGCTCTGCAGTTTACCTGGTTTGTAGTTTATAAACAGCATCAAATTAGTTTGTCTGATTTTTACTCTCAGCTCAGGTTTCTCTGCTTCACCAACCCATAGCTTAAGCCAGAAATTTTTATGTGTACCCTTGTATTAAGGATGAGACGTCTTAAAACAGGTCATAAGGGCCTTCTTCCTTATGACTGCTTTGAAATATACCTGATCTGCTTATTTCATCACTTAAAACATGTTTAATTTTTATTTTATTTTATTTTATTTTATTTTATTTTATTTATGTTCTTTTTTATCTATTTATGTGCTTATCTATATATATTCAGGGCATTGGAGCATTGGTAGATGGCTGTGCACATACATGGTTTTGCAATGCTCCTGTCTTCTGGTCTTGTTTTTACAAGCTGGGGAGGCCGACGAAATGGTCAGGTGTGCAATGCTCAGAATCTTCAGAGTCCCATCTCCTAGGTAAATAAGGATCTGAAATTTAAAATACTTTCTTCCTTCATCATGTGAATAGTACTTACCTTAATTTTTCAAAATTTTCTGATTTGTTTTGAATTAAAAGATAGTTAAAATGCTCATAGGAATTTTCTAGATGGGGATAAATGTGTAAATACCCATTAATAAGGATCCTTAAAAGTAAGTACACTTAAAATAACTTGTCTGTTGAAAATGGGACTTGGGCACTCTGGCAAATTTTGTTCCTAGTCCAGCACCATCAGCATAAAAGCACCCTTTCTCCATGCCAACCTTATGAATATATATTTATCCTGTGAGTTGCAGCCAGTTATTGGGAAAGTCATGCACCTGTTTTCATGAAGGTACCTCTGTCTTCACTTAATGTTGGAGCATAGGTCTGCTCTCATGCTGAATACACTTTTGACATTGAGAACACTCCTACCATTATAATTTGCTTCTGCCATATTAGCAACACATGATGTAGAGCTTCAAATAATATGAAATCCTTTCTAAAATAAGGCATCGTATGGAGTAAAAGGAAAGGGAAGGGGTCACTGAAAAAAGCTATTCAGCTGTCTGATTAATTCCTCATTTTCTTTGATTAATGCGGAGTAATTCATTAGAACTTCTGCTCTTTAAATTGACAATCCTATATAAATTTCAACCATCTTTAACTTTCATCATGTTCCATCCTTGGGAAGACTTTGTAATCACTGACTGGAAGACTAGTTGAGGTTGGAAGGGACCTCTAGAGGTCACCTGGTCCAAGCTCCCTGCTCCCGCACGGACACCTAGAGCCATTAGTGTTTAAAATCAGTATTCTTCAGCCCCACTATTGCTGTGGCCTCCTAGGTGAAGTCCTCTCCCCACTAACTTTTAACATTTAAATGGTCTGAGTTGCAATATTGGTTCCTATAATGTTCAGGGATTGCTACATCTGGCCCTTCTGAACAGAAGTCTTTTTCTGGTGTGTATTTCTAAACCATTTTTATTTGTAACAGAAGACAAATTTTTATATTTTTATGTTCTGTTCCCAGTTTGCATGGCACAGTATTATCAACACATTCAAAACCACAAGCGCTTGCTTAGATGCAGATCCTGCAAATGTACATGAATGTCAAGTTTTATGCTATAAAAATTAATCAAGAGGGTTGCTGAAGTATCTTATTGCTATGAATACTTAAAAATTATGTACACATCTTAGTGCTATGTGTACTTAAAACCAAGAGAAAATACTCCGTATTAGCTGGAGAGGTAAACAAATCTGCAGAACTAGATGTGCCTTCTCTGAAATTCTGTCAACAGACTTTGATGATCATGGAACAGTATCCAGAGCTGCAGATCTGCAGATATATTTGTATCTGTAAGGTGCAAATCAGGACCTAAATTGAAGTTCTGACCTCCTTTAGAGATACATTTAATCATTACGTGACAGATCTGATGACATGCAAGTGACCGGGTTCAATGCCCAGTCTCATGTATCAAGCTTTCTAATGTGTGGAACTTTTGTATTATGGAAAACAGATCTGTGACTCAATCTGTCGCTGACACGAGTTACATAAAATCATACGTAAAGGAATGCCTTTCAATGGCACATCTGAAAACCCGAAGTATTTGCCTTCCTCCAGATGGCATTTAGAATAAATGTTCTACATGCTCATTATCAAGGATTCCATGTCACCCACTGGAAGACCCAAAAATGTTGTTTTCCCTAACCTGGTCATCATTGAGAAAAATCTAAACTGCCCCTGACTCTTTGCTAGGGAGTTGGAATATACTGGAAGGAGTGTGTACCGATGGGTGCTAAGTGCTACCTTCCACATTGGTAATGAATTATCAATAGCTAAGAATTTGCTTCCTTCTGGACTGAAAAAAACAAACACAAGATGTCTTAGAAAAAATATTTGCCATGTCTGACTATAAAAGTTTGTGAATGAGTAGATTTTTCCTAGATTGAAAATTTTTGTACTCATGAAACAAGAGAGTAAATGAAATCACTGAATTGAGCAGGAAGGAACTGGTAACTGCTGTTTCAGATAACTGCATGGACTTAGAGTGGCTCTGAGGATGTAGGATGAAGGTGTATAGGTTAGTGGCTTCACTAGGTTTTTGGAAGAAGGAAGAAGGTAAGGAATTGTCTCTATGCATTCTAGTTCAGTGATACCTTTAAATATCATGTGGGAAGTAATCAAAGGAACACATAAGATTTTTTTTCTGTGAGATTTGAGACACAGCTTGTTATGACGCATTGGTATAATCCTTGTTTATGAATCACAGGCCCAGTCCATAGATGTATTTCAACATATGTCTAATTTTTAACATGTGGGCAGTTGCCATATGAAGACTCTCAGGCAGTTTTATATGGGATGTGAGATATATCCACATTCTTGCTTGGTATTGTTTGTGAAGAGCTGCAGCATTTTAGTCACGTTGAATGTGGATGAGACATTTTAAAAGCAGGATCAGAGCTGACAGTGGCAGACTTGCAGAGCTATGTGAATACACTTTTAGGACTTGCACCATACTATGTAAAGCATTTTGGATATTTTTTCTGGTGAGAAAAGATACGATGGTGTTAATTTGCTGCTGCTGTTTTCTGCATTTGGCAATGAAATAACTTGGTTGGTTTCAGCTATGTTAACTTTTATTCTGAAAAGCAGTAGTGTGTTTGAGAACAAAGAAAGGAAAACAGTAAAAGCCATTGTGAATGCCTGTTTCTGATACTGTTTATTTTTGCCTATACCACAGACTTACATTCAAAAGGCCAATTTCATATTATCTCTAATATGTTGTTACAGTAGAAACTCGCTACAGGTCATTTCAGAAGGGAAAACTGTAGCTTATAAAATGTGATTAACCAGTTGTAAAGAAGACCAATAATCTCAACAGTGTTACACTATTAAGGGTAGATATAAAGTTACCAGTACTGCCAAATCATTTGTACTCTCCTGTGCTACTAACTTTATTATCAGTCTGATCAATATTACACGGTTGGGACATTCTTCCGCTGTATACATGAAAACAATTATATTTTCCCAGCTATATTGTAATCAGATTATTTGCTTTCTGGGTCTGTAACTTTACTGTGTATCTTCTGTTTCTGCCAAATTAATTTATTTTTTTTTTAACGTGGAGCAGGAGGATTAGTAACTCGACTCATTTTGAAAGTATGAACATTTATCTGAAACTGTGTAGTGATTCTTTACAAACAGAAATTGAACTTAGTGAGTCTTGCATTTAAATACAACAAAAAAGGGGTATCGGCTGCTCAATGCAGTACTGCATGTTTGGAAACAGCTCATCAAAACACCTAATTAGGGTGCACAATCATTTGTTTTTCTTCAGTGCTATTAATATTTAAGATTTTAGAAGGAATGCAAAATCCCATGTTAGACCTTTTTAATTTTTAAGTTCTGAGACTGAAATTTTGCCTGGCTTACAACTTTTTCTTGATTTCTCTGATTAATAAAAGTTAGGTCTTCTGTAATGAATTTCGATGCATGCTGTTTGGCATTTAAGTGTAGCTTGCCTGGCACTGATGATTTATTTTACTTTTTAAAGGCCATGATTAAAAGTTTTATGGATGTCTACCAACTTGCAAGTTCCAGAATTGACATGTTAGTGAGAGAAACACCATCTCATCAGCTTCACGCTGCAGCCCTAAAGTCCGAGCTCCAAACAGCTTGTCTTCATGAAAGTGAGAGCTTACAACTGGTAAGTTTGCTTTTTAAGTAACTTTTGTCATTTGGATGTGGTTTCCTAGCTGTCATCTCCCTTCATATTGTATAGTTTGTGTAGGGAAATACAATTGTATCTCATTATAAACATAACAGAACAGTTAAACTAGTGTCAAGAGGAACCTTCTGAGCCTTTTTCTGAAGAGAAAGGGGTTGGTAAAAGTTAAGACAAGGATTAATTTTACTATTGTGTCTTCTACAAGGGCTTGTTCCTTGCTGCTGTGGCTGGAAAAGTATACACTGTGATTTCTTTGCTTTTGGCAGTACAGTAAACAGTTGAATTTTGAACCAGAAGAATTTAACCATGTAAAGATGCAGCACCATGTTAAAACAGAATGTTATTAACTGTGCATGTAAACAAAATGTTTATTAGAAGACATAATGTTTTTTTAAAGACAATTGTGGTTATGAATAATACTTCTCACTAAAGTTGCAGCTTTAAAATCCAATTTCAGAAATCATTTTTTGTCTAAAATGCTGTTACCCACAAAGATACTTGGACTTGTCTAAGGCTAATAAGGTGATTCTTCAGATCTGAGATCTTTCTCTAGGGGGATTACTGAATGCAGATGTACTTGTGTCACACAGGCAGGAGGCCAGACGCATAAACTGTCATAAATATGTAGCCAAGTATGTCTAGAATGAGACTGTGTAAGCCGTGCAACTTGCATACACTTGATGTATTTCTTTTCCCTCTTTTTTTACTTTTCCATGTAGGATAAAGGAGAAAGCTTTGGAATTTGGGTTTGTTTTTTTTGTGTGTTTTCCTCTCCTTCCTCCTTTGTCTTCTTTTATTCTTGTAAAGCAAAGGACCACAAAGAAAATGTGGATTGTCTGTCTTTTTGAAACAGAAGATGTGTAAGAAGAGAGCCGTCACTAATGCAAATGACATAAACACATTGGCAAATGTATATTCAAATGATGTGGCTGTGACTTGGTTGTTTCCATCAGAATTACATTAATTTCTTATCCTGCTTCTAAATTGGATCATCATAATGGGAAATTAGCACAAATAGAAAATATATTAATTGGTGCCGAATTTCAGTTTTAAGATCTTGAGATGGTAGCTGTTGAATGAAAGCTTTATTTGTGGCTGCACAGCCTTTCTAAGAAACTAAATGAAATTGCTTCACCAAAATCGTTTCTTTTCTACTCCAACCAGGCTTTCTTTATGTTTTCTACTAGTTTACATGTGTCCTGCTGAGCCCGTGCCCAGTGTAATTGGGTTGCTCCTTTGCCTGTTATGATTGTTTTTGTTGTTTAAATCAAGATGACCACTTGTGCACTAAGGATTGGGAAGTCTGCCAAACTTGCTGCAGCGAGGTTTGCTTTCATTTGAACTGAGAGAGCTTTTAGCAAAGATCATGCCTGTCCTGTCTATAAAGGGCTATGCAGTGGCTTGATATGTTACAATGGAAACAAACAGCTCATCTGTCCCCCCAGCTCTCCGATGCCTGTGATTGAATGCAATGCTTTTTAAGTAACTTGTGACTGCCTACAGTATTGGTGTAAAGATGACACTTTCTGTGTTGTAGTAGGATGTAGTTGGCCCTTCCGTACGACCCTGGGGAGAGAAGGATAGTTCTTCCTTTTGGTGCAGTTCAATTTGAACCTAAGCATAAGCATCAACAGAAACTAGAATAAAAATTAACAGAAAGTAGAATAGAAATTTTAATGTAAAGACAAAAAAATTCAGAATGATAGATTCTCAAGTTTCCATGAAAAAATTCTGTGTTTATGGTATATTTTGTAGTATTTGAGGTTTTATAAAGCTTGTCCCTAATACTAGCAGAAATTGCATCAAGCATGACTTTTGATAATTTCAGGCATCACAGCTTTCCAGAGTAACATACATTTTAAAGTTCCACCTCATATTGTTCTATTCTGATTTTGAGGACAAAGTTTTGCACAAAGCTTCTCTCTGTATTAAAAAAGTAGAACAAAATATTTTTTTCTTGATTATTTTAAATGAAAGGGAGTAATGAACATCTATTTGGTCTCAGAATTGCACACATTTTGTTGGTTTCAAACCACTGTGTTCAATCACGTGTCCGGTTCTAGTAACTTTACATGCAAAACTTATCATGTAGGAGACAAACACAGCACCCGGACTGTATTAATTGCAGATCTTCATACGATGTATGCTTGTGTTCCTAGAACACTAACCTATTGCTCAGTGCTGAAACATTTGTGCAGTGTCTTTCAGGTGGACCTTGTAAGATTGAGTTTTATCTTACCATGTTGTAGCTGTCTCTTGATGTCTTGTATGCTAGTTGCAAGAGGTTCTTGTCCTCCCAATTGTCCATTGCATCTAAGTTTGGGACATCCATCACTATTGATCTTTTCCATGTTCAGAAGGTATTGCTTTCCTAACTAACCTTTTTGTACTGAAATTTGCTAACTACATCGCCTTTCTCTCTATTCACACCACTTTTTCCTCTCCTGTTGCCATGGGTTTTACTGATAATTGTAAAAACAAAACTGACGCTATAAGGCAACATCAGTGATTCTGACTCCTCATCTTCTATCTAAGACTCTGAATTGACGTCTCTATCCTCGTCTGCTTCTAGTCCAACCACTTCCCTTCTCGTCAATAGTGTTTAGATTCTGAGATATTGCTGTGTGTGCTCATGCTAATGCCAACAGAGGGGAACAGGAAAGGATGTGATTATGATGGACAGAGGTGAGATGAATACTGGAAACACTGCAAACAGAGAAGAGAATTATTATGTGGGGTGAAGGGGAGTCAATATCAAAATGTCCCTGTACTCTTCTTTAGAGTCCAGCTGTCTGTCTGTCGCACTCATCTCTGATGATTCTTCCTCTGTGGAGAGAAAGGCCTGTGCATTTTTCATTTTTGAATCTCTTTAAATTTCAATATGGCTGAAATGCGGGTTATTGGTTTTCTACCCAGACATTCTTTTTCCCTTCTATTGTTCCCTATTCCTGTATTTCTTTTCTGGTTTGCTTTTTTTTTATAATTTCTCTTGGGTTTTTTTTTTTTTTTTTTTTACCAAATGAAATTGCTTTTCTGCCATCTTGTGCCTTTTTTAATTACACGATAAGCCTTTGGAGATACTGATCTTCTGCCAGTAGGGATTATTGTAATGTGAAAGTATTAAGGAGCACATAAAAGGACAACAATGCCAAAAGGTCCAGTTGGGCATTAAATTTTGTCAGCAGGGAAAGCTTTTAATAGTTACCATAGCAGCATGGTACAGGTACAAACCTGTCACCTCTGTGAAAATTCTCTTAGCCCATCTTTTCTGGTTTGCTTTTTTTTTATAATTTCTCTTTGGTTTTTTTTTTTTTTTCTTTACCAAATGATTCTGAAATTTCCCTGACATTTCTAAAATGTCTTTTTCTTTTATTTCTGTTATCAAACCACTAATATTTTGTAATAGTTTTTCTTTGCACTCGTAACAGTTTCACTTTTGTGCATTTCCTTGTTTTTTTAAAAAAATCTACTTTCTCTGAAGTGCAAGTACCACAGTCACAATTCTGTCCTTCATAACTTGCTGCATCCCCACATAAAAGCTGTATCTATAACTGGTAGAGCTTATAATAATATGAATTCAGCTAACAAGATGTCATTGATGTGGCTATGTGTGGGCTTGACTATAAGGATGTAGGTGAACAGAGGAGAAACGGAGAAGCCAGCAGTCAGTGTCTTACTTTAAATAAGATGGAGAATTATTTCACTGAGCACTGAAGTCCATACTAGGTTGGCACTGCCTTTTTCTCCATGAAATTTAATAAACTGTATTGTTTCCCTTTACATGTCTCTCTTTATGCCGCCTTATGGTTTCCCTTAGGAAAGCTTAGAAGGTGGGTTTAGTGGAAGTACTTCACTGGTAGTAACTAACTGTACACATGATCTGTATGTAAGCAGAGAAGATATCAGCTAAAATGTTTTTGTATTTCTTTTTTTCCTGCCTATTTCTTGTTCGGCAACATCTAGTAATATGAACATCACAAACTGGACTGTGCTCTGTGGTTTCCTATTAAATGAACACTTGCCAGTTACTTTAACAGGACGGGATTCTGCAGCTTTGATCCATTTTACTTCTTCTTCAGATACATTAGTTTACTAGTATACTTGCACTTTCATTCAGAGCTGCAGCAATAAGTAGGCTTTGAACTGGGAGCTTTTAAGTGCTGTACTGTGCGGTAGTATAGTCATAAGCAATTACTCTGTGGGTGCTGCGGGGGAACATGTGGCATCATATTAGTCACATGGCAAGCACATGAATCCAGGGTGTGCCTACTGCCAAGGAGTTTGTTGCTACAAGCACATGGTGGGGAGTCGGTGCAGTGACACTGTATTTTCCAGTGTGACCTGACACGTATAAGGAACTGACAGAATTCGATTCATTGTAACATTTCTCTAGAAAGTGTTTTTGTAGCTTTCAGCCCTGAGATTTTGTGCCTGATGTCAGTACTGCTGTTGGAATTTTAAGAATTTTAAATATTCTGGTGTCAAAAGAAGTTTGGCGTTGCCCTGATCCCGAATGTGCAGCTGATCTGGTGACATTCCTTCCTTTTTCTGCTTTCACTTCAGTTTCAAAGGAGAGTAGGAACTGAACGGGAAAATACAGTAATTTATAAAGACAATGAAGTGAGAAAAGCTTTGTGTGCACTGGGGAAATGGCAATTTGGGGAGCCAAAAGAATAACTTTACCTGAAGGGGGGAAAACGCGAGTTTCAGATGGGTGGGAGGGGTGAACTGAAAAGAGCAGAGTTCTCTGACTAACTATGAAAACAACTGTTGTCTTTGGATGCTTCTCCTAACTGGGGTTGAAAATGAAATCGTTCATCACTTTATGTGGCTTTGCATCATCCTTACATTTTCCCCCCCCCGCAGTTGTGGCTGTGTCTCTCCTTTGTCTGAAAATGCCTAGTGATACCACTTGAAGTACTGAAAAAACAGAAATTGTAGGGTTTGATAAGGTGAGAGAAACAAGTAGAATGATCTTA